GGGGGGGAATGACAGGCCCTCACCTTCTGAATCATGAGCCAGGTCTCTGTTAATGAATTTTCTTTTCCTGACATTTGTCGGTCTCTCATTACAGTTTCTCCCACGCGGATTCTATAAACAGGAAAGATCAGTTACTTTAGAAATTTGAGGTTTGAGATTTGGTTGGGCTTGTTTTGGGYTTTTTTTTTTAATCAAGAATATGTAAAGTTGGCATAAATTCATACATTTTCAAACAGGGAAATGGTCATCTTGCAAGCCTTCAATTTCCAACAAAAGATACTGCTGAGCACCTAACATCCTCTGARAGATTCCTGTGTCTAAATGCAACACATTTCTATCTATGTAGACATCTATTTGTACAGATACATACATAATGTGCTCAAGCAGCAACACAATACCAATCATGTATTTTTAGCATCTTAAGTATATAAACCTATACAATAGCCCATAAATCCCCATAGCATAAGCTATGCAGGAGAATACAGATATGAAATTATAATAGACCACTTTGTTTCCCTTGTGTTACTTATAAAATTGTTTGCAAAGTCCTGAAAGGAAAAAAAAGAGAGAGAAGAAAAAAAAAGGTTAATGTTTGCCTCAACTTCATTCTTCTGAACGTTGCAGGCAAACGCAGCCAGAAACTTTGAATGCAGCTGCTRCTGCTCTCGCCTCCCTCATCCGCTAATCATGTGCATGATTTTTTAATCATCCCAAAACTGTCTTTAAAAGAACACGATGCTTTATTGCAATAACTAAGAAGATAKGCTCATCTTGCAGGCAAAGCTCCCAGATGAAGAGTCGCCCTTACAGCCGTAACAAAGCAGAGACTGTTTCTATAAAACTCCCCCACAGAAATAAGTCGGAGTCAAGTTTATAAACACCAACTTTGAACYGATCACTCACATTGGTGACCATGTAAGGCACTTGCTGGTCATAAAATCCATCCATTCTGCAGCTCTTCCACGAGTCTTAGCTCAGTGTTTTATTTACTGGGCATTTGATCTGGAGATTTCGTCGGGATCTGGACTCCAATCAGCCTGGAGGGGAATACAAGATGGCTTTTAGATTTAAAAAAAAAATATAATTTGAAAACAAGTTACAAAAATCGAAATCAACAAAAAAAAAAAAAAAAAAAAAAAAAAAAAAAAAAAAAAAAAAAAAAAAAAAAAGCAACAGCATGAATGAACTGCTTGCATTTGCATACCTAATTAACCTCAAAGAGTCCCATTCATAAAAAAACAACCCTCCCTTCTCTGCCTTCACCTGGGTTACCCGCTCCTGCCAGCTAAACGCGGAGCYAAAGCACTCCGCGGCGGCGGCCAGCAGGGCGAGAGGCAGGGCTTTATTTACACTGCGCGCCGCACCCGCGGGCGATCCGCGCCGGCGGCAGCCGCGGCTCGGCGAACGTGGGCTCAACTCGTAATGGCGAACGCGGGTCTCGGCGCGCACCTCGCGGCGGCGGCGGCGCCCGGCGGCCACGCACACCCCGCGCACACACACACACAGACACAGACACACACCCGGCCCCCCCGCCCCGCGCACCGGCCACCTTCTCCCACAGGATCGCTCCCGCGGCCCCGCCGCCGCCGCCGCGCAATCCTGAGGGGCGCCGGGCAAAGTTGCGGGGGGAAGACCCACCTGAAGGCCACGCGCGGCGATCGGCTGCAAAAAAAAAAAAAATTCCCTCCAAATTTAATAAAAACATTAATTATTCCCCGGCACTTCCCCCTCGGAAGCCGCGAGCGCCACTGACAGAGCTCAATCCCGTGGTTTTTCCTCTCCTCCTCCTCCAGGGGCCCCCGAGCCGCGCCGGCGGATCCCCGCCGCCCATTGGCTCCCCGCGCCCCCCGCCGGATCGCCGGATCGCCG